CCTCACCGCCCCAAGGACACGAGGCCAGGGCCTGCCTTTGGCATTCCCCGTCGCCCCCGACCCCCCAGTGTCTTCTGGGGCCCTGTGCAGTCAGCGGCTGGGCTTGGACACGGAACCCAGGCACAGGTGAGGAAAGGGGAGAGTTCTCTCCAGCAGGATTGGAGACATTGCCTCAGTTCTCTGTGGCTCGTTGTCCTGGCCCCGCACGGGCCTATGACAAGGCCTGGTCACCAACAGCCTCTGCACTGTGAGGGCCACGGGCGAGGCAGACTCTGTCCCCACTGTCCCGCACTGTGAGCCGGGCCAGCCGGGACTCTCAGCCCGATGCTGCCACCTGCCGGTCGGCCGGCCGGCTTCCCCGTCTCCCTGGTCCCCGGCCCAGCCCGAACTCATCGCCGTGATTGGCTTCTTGCTGCAGCTTATCGAGACCGAAGCACCGCCCACACCTGTGGGGAGTGGTCAGTAAGAGTGTATCTGAGCCAAAGGGACCACCTGCGGGGGGAGCAGATGCGCTGGAGAGTGACAGGCGGTTCCCCTTCCGCGTCTGAGAGTGAGGGGGGACCAGCGGGAAGATTCCAGGCAGGGATGGGACTATGGGAGGGCTGTGGTCCGGGTCCCGCCCTCTCCCGAGGGTGCTCTTGCCTCCGAGGGGCGTTAACTGTCGGCACCTGGAAGGTGTGGGAGACTGGACATGGATGGTGGAGGGACGCGGCTGGCTAAGGGCAAAGCTAAGCCTTCCACTGACCTTGCAGGGAGGGGCTGGGGACCAGGCCACCTGCGAGGTTACTTTCCCTCTGTCCACAAACGTCCGCCCCCCAGACCCTAGAGGAGGGGCCCTGCTGGCTGAGACCGAGCGCTGGGCGCCCGTCCCGCCCTGGATGCGGCTCTGAGCCTTCCGACCTTTGACCTCGGTTCTGTGTCCCCCTCTGCCTGCCCATCACTGGAGCTCTGTCCTCGGAAGCTGTAGCGTCACCTGCCCCTGAGCCCCTCCGTCGCGTCGGAGCTGCGCACCGACCAGGGCCCAGTGCTTGTCCTCTGCTGCCCTCTGCTGGTGGCGCAAGGAGCAGCAGGGGACGTTCCGGGCCGGATTCCAAGGAGCCTCCTGCCCGCCTCCCACTTCCAGGGGCCGGGGCCGGCCGCCGCCCCGACCTGCGCCAGGTCGCGGGAGGAGCTGAACGGAGCGCGATTCCAGGAACGGCCGGTGGGCAGCGAGGTCGCTCCCGCGCACCTTCTCAGCTGGTGCAAGTCACTCCTGGGCGCTTTTCATTCCCTGCAGTGAAACCGGAAAGCAGAGCGACCTCCAGCGGCAGAAGGGGCGCCTGTGGGCGCGAACTCCCATGGACACGCGCTGGGCAAAGCCTTATGCCGCGACCCCGCAGGGCTGGGTGGGGGCAGTGAGAAAGGGCCAGTGATGGACGCCCTAGCTGGTGTGGCTCGGTGGACTGAGCGCCGGTCTGTGGAGCAAAAGGTCACCAGTTCAATTCCCAGTCAAGGCACATGCTGGGTGGCAGGTTCCCAGTAGGGGGCGCGCGGGAGGCAGCCACACATTGATGTTTCTCTCCCTCTCTCCCTCCCTTCCCCTCTCTCTAAAAAGAAATAAAAAATTTTAATAACAGACTTAGCAAGTGAATAAATTATAAGACTGCCTTTATTATTTATATTGTACCTCATTCTAGAGAAAACCAAAGGCAATTTACAAATACACATGAAACAGAACAGGCATAAATTACAGCTAAGGAGGAAGGAAATGGGAAAATAAGGATAGGACTACTGACATGGAGGTAGCTATTAGGCTAAAGAAATATGTCGGATAAAACTAAAAGCGTATCTTAAAAAGCACGCTCCTCAGTGTACTGAGGGTGCGTGTCTGCCTTCCACCTTCCCACTGGCCACTTCAAAACAAAACAACCCATCAGCCCTGCCTGCTGGAGCTCAGTGGATTGAGCACAGGCTGTGAACCAAAGGGTCACTGGTTCAATTTCCAGTCAGGGCACAGGCCTGGGTTTTGGGCCAGGTCCCCAGTAGGGGGCGCAGGAGAGGCAACCACACATGGATGTTTCTCTCCCTCTCTTCCTCCCTCCCTTCCCTCCTCTCTAGAAATAAATAAATAAATAAAATCTTAAGGGAAAAAAAGAAAAGAAAAGGCCAGTGATGGCAGGGCAGAGGGGAGGCAGCTGCCAGCCTCGGGGTCTGGGAGCCCTGGCTGGCGGCTCAGACCCAGTGATCCGATCGATGCTGGGCCTTCGCTCCGGAGCCCCGTTAGGCTGCATTTTGCTATTCGGCTAAAAGTAACAGCCTTCACCTGCGCATGGGAACGCCTGACAGACAGGAGGCACTGCCGGGGGTGTGGGAGGGGCCAGCTGGGCACGCCCGTCACTGGGCTGGTTCCAGGCTGAGGCCCCTCGGGGAGCCACAGACGTAGCTCCGCTTTTGGGGTGGGAGTTTTTACTCTAGCAGGGGACCCCAGGCCCGAGGACCCAATCCTGGGGATGTGCGGGGGTGTGGAGGCCGCCAGACAGGTGCCTTCCCTCTGCATCAGAGGCTCAGGTGGTTCAGCTCTTGAGCTCAGCCACACCTGCCCGCCCCGCCTCCTCCTGGCCCGCTCCTGGGGCAGAGGCTCCGCCTTCGGTGGGCGGGGCCCCCGGGCGCGACTGTGGAGCAGAACCCTGGGCCTCCGGCCGAGGCCGCTATGGGTTCTTCTCTCCTGGACTCCCGGCCAGATGCTCGCGGAAGCTCAGCTCGGCGGGCTGACCCCTCCTTGGGGCAAGTGAGTACCCTGTTCAGCGGGTGAGCATTCTGACTCTCGGGAGGCGGACACTCCTGTCCGAACGGTGATTTAGGAGCCACCGTCTGTGACATCATCCGACGTGCATTTGGGCCGCGGTTGGGCCTGCTTCCCTGCGGGTCAGTGTGTGACCCGAGCAGAGAGAGTTAGTGCTACAATGCCGTCTCCCCCTGGCGGTGACGGCCACACGCAGCCACCACAGCGGGAAGCCCAGGTGTCTCTGCTCCGGCAGGGGTCCCGTGGAGGGAAACGCCCTTGGCTGTGGGCGGCCCCCTCCAGAGAAGGTCCTTCCACGATGCCTGGGGCTCACGGCCCCACAGGGGGCGCTGAGCGCAGTGCTCCTGAGGGCCTGGCCCGGCCTCTTGTCTGCCACCTGGGCTGGCAGGAGCCCCTCCCTCCCCAGCCCCTCGCCGCCCAGGGTCCGCCCTGCTGACCCGCACAGCTCCGCCTGCAGACCCCCTGGAGGGTTCACGGGACGGGTGCTGGGTGGGGCCCTGCTGAGCTGGGACCCAGCCCCCCGCCCCGCCCGCCGGTGTCTCCCAGGACTCGTCCCTCCTGGGGCGCCTGCCGCGCCTGGGGTCCCCCGCCCCTTCTCTCCCGGCGCCTGGCAGAAGACCCCGCCCCCTTCCCTTCCACCCAGAACAAATCACCCGGCAAAACCCAAACCCAACCTATGGTTCCAGGTGGGGGGAGTCACCCGGAGTCACCAGACACGCGTGGACTCTGCCCAGGGCCCGCTGGGGGCGGGGCTCAGATGGGGCCGGTCTCGGCATCCTCCTGTCTCTTTGGTTCCCGGTGGGCACAGGGCGGACCGCACGCTGCGCCACGGGCCGCTGTGGGGGGTTCACTGTGCTGGCTGCGGGCCCATGGGCGGTGCCACCCCGGCGGGGCACGGGCAGCAGCGGGCCGGGCCAGCTCTCAGTGGACGCCACAGCCGGTACTGTTCTTAATGACAGTGTTGGACCCTAGTCGGTGGGAACGGACCCCTCTGGGGACAGTTGGTGTTGGCGGCCCTCTCGTCCTGTAGAGCGTGACCGGAACAGTGTCCGGGGGCCCAGGACGCGGCCGGGGGAGGTTGTGGCAGAGACTGTGGGCGCCGCGCCAGGGCAGACCTGCTCGGGGAGCATGCTGAGGGGGGCAGGCCCCCGTGTGTGCTCGGAATTGCTGTCCCCCGCCCCCCAGGGGCCTGGATGCGTGAGCAGAAACAGGCAGGATTCTGCGGGTGCGGGGCCCAGCCTACACCCCAGGGCCCCTGTTCGGGCTGCGGGGCAGCAGAGGGGGCCGAGCTCAGAGGGAGCCGGAGCTCAGCACGCGGCTCCCTGAGCGTGTGGGTGCACGCCCCTGCTCGGGGTTCAGGGCGCACTATGGATTCGGGCCCCGCTGTCCGCACGTGTCGCTGGTGGCACCCTCCCCCCCACCGCGCCATGGTGCCGGTCGGCCGGCCAAGCTGAGAAAGGACTGGACACGCCCACAGCTTGTCCTTGGTTCGGAATCCAGACTCTGACCTCCGTTCCCAGCAGCTGGGCTCCCTGTGGGCCAGGGTGTCAGGCAGTGGCTGCCCCCCTGTGGGACTTTGGGTGGCCCCTCGCCTCTCTGGGCTTTAGAGCCCCTGTCCGTGCAGTGGGGGGTGGGGGGGTGGGGGGCGGACTTCCGATGGTGAGTGGCCGCCTGGAGCTCAGGGCTTGCAAAAGGGAGCCCGGCCTCTCAGGACCGTGCCCGGGGCCTCGCCCCAGACCCTGCTTATGGAGCTTGGGTGGCGGCAGGACCCAGCGGGTGCAGCCAGGGGAGGGGCTGGTGGGGAGCTGCTCTCACCCCCGGCTTCTGCGGGGGCCTGGGTTCGTTTCCTCAGCCCCCTCTGCTTTCCGGCTGGGCGCCGTTGACACCAGGGTGACTGGTTGATGAGACACAAATGGGTACATGTCCCACCGGAGCAGGTGTCTGTGAGGCCTCGCCGTGGGCAGTGCTGCAACCTCCGAGGGGGCGGGGCCCGTCTCCACCCCAGAGCCCTCCCCACGGGACCACACTCACCGCCTCTGACTGACCCGGGCTCCGCCGGTCCTGTCCCCTCTACGACCGACACTGTGGGTGCCCCTGAGGCTCGGGGGATGTGGCTCTGCCTAGGTCAGCGCCCAGTGGGCTCCTTAGATTTCTCGCCGCCCCGCACGCTCCCGAGGTGACGCGCCGGAAAGAAGAGAGCTCTCCGAGTGGTAAAATAACGTTTTATTCCGTGGACGCACAGATGCACCACCCGCACCACATTCCCACGTCCCTCCCACCACTGGGTCTCCTGGCCCGAGCCGGCGGCCGGTCAGCCCTAGGCCGTGACGCGCCATCGGCTGAGCCCACCGACGCGGCAAAAGCATGACCACGTCACCTTCCTGGTGGCCCACAGGTCTGCACGTTGATGCTTTCCATACATGGTGACGTGTCACCTTAAAAAACCCCTGGACACCTTCCCATGGCATTAGCTGGCTCGCAGCGACGACGCCCAACCCCCCAAATCCCGAAGCGCCACAGACGTGTCCTCTCTGCCAACAAAGGGTCCCCCCCACCGCGCAGCCCCCCGGGGGGCCGGAGAGGTCAGGGCTGACGTTCGGGCGGAGAACGAGCTGCCGAGGGAATGAATGGTCAGGGTGGGTGACAGCTTTGAGACGGGCACGTGTGGACAGTGCAGGCCAGCCGGGTCGGCATGCAGGCGACACGGGACGGGGACCGCGGGAGGGGCCGGGGGCACGGCGTGGCATCCGGCGCACATGCCAGTCTTTATGTACAACAAAACGAAACGCACTCGACCCCCGCGAGGTACGTCTGGCCGAGGGTGTCCACGGCGTCCATGGGTGGCTCCATGCGGCGGGTGGGGGGGTGGCGGTCACCAAGCATCCCCAGGGTGGGGGGTGATGCCCGAGAACGCCCACACTCTCCTCAAGGGTTCCCATCCCCCGAGCTCACGTGATGGACCTGGGGTGGTGTCCACACTCTGTCTTTTTATGTATTTTTTTAAAAAAAAAAAACAAATGTCACGGGGACAGACTTGGCAGCTTCCCGGGGAGGAGGACAAGCCCGGGGGCATCGGTAGACGGACGATGAGAATCTAAGCGAACCCTATTGCTGCTGGGTGCGGGAGACAGCTTTTATTTATGCACTTTCTTTTGTGTCAGTAAGTAGGGCTGGGTGTTTTCCCCCTCCTCCGCGGTGTGAAATGTCTCCGAAAAGTCTAGAGCCGACCTTGAGGGGTGAGCAGTGACTTCTGATCTGTTTCTTCTCACAAACAAGTGCCAAGCGGACAGGCGGGCGGGAGGAAGCCACGCGGAACCGAGGATAACGAACAAACGAACAGACAAACCAACCCGGCACAGAAAGACGACCCCAGGGCCGCAGACAGCGTCAGGTAAAAACCATAGAAAAATACGAATTAATTCCGCAAGGTTAACCATTAGCGTCGCTACAGTAAGACCGGGCGGACAGCCCCGAAAAACGCGGAGGGCCCTAGCACAGGAAGGAGCAAGCCAACCTAGGAGGTGCTGTTAGAGGGATTGTGCTCTCGTGGTTTCCATGGCGCGGTTACATCAGACAGGACGCGGTGCCGCCGGCAGGGGGCGCGGTGCTCACGCTCGCCGGGGCAGGCTTCCTCGCGGCGGCCGCCGCGGTCCTCCGGTCCCGGGGGTGCACAGGGAGGGGCGGGGCGGCGGTGGGATGCACTCGTCGCTCTGCGGCCAGCAGGAGGCTGTGACGGCCCCTGGCTCCCTGGAAGCCCGTGGGAGTGATGAGGCGCCTCCAGCCGGGAAGGAGCTGGTTTCTGAAGCAAAACGGCCTTCAGGGCCCGAGACACACATGCTAGGGATCGGGAACGCCCCCCGCCCCCCACCCCAGTGCGGGCGGGCGGTTGGGCGGGAGAGGGGGGCGGGGTGCCCAGCCCCACGCTGGTCCAGGGAGAGCCACGCTGCTGCGCCAGGGGCGGCCGGGGCGGCGCTCAGTCCTCCTCCTCCTCCTTGGCTGTGGCTGTGGGCACTCTGTCCTGAACCCTGAAGCACTCCACGAAGAAGTTGACGATGGTGCGGTGCAGGTGCTGCCTGAGGGGGGCGCTGTGGAAGTAATGGCTTTCGTCCGGGTAGATCTGCAAGGAAGGCGAGACCTGAGGGGGCGCGGGGCACGGGACTGGGCGCCGCGCAGGCCCCACGGAACCTGCAAAGTGAGTTTCCCCGCACGCATCCAGGGCCTTCGCCTCCCGGGGGTCAGCCAGGAGCAGGCGCACATCGGCGGCGTTGGCTAAGCCAGAAGCCCCAAGGGGTCTAAACTCCGCCTGAGTGCAGGACGGAACTGTTGTAACCACTTGAAAAATGAGCCCCGGCTGATCTGTCTGTCGGCTGCGCCCGCCCGCGGCCGACAGGCATGCGCAGGCGCGTTGGCAGCAGAGGGAGCCGCGCGGAACTCGGCGCCGGTGTATGCGCATGCGTACCTGCAGGCTGTAGTTGGCCTTGCCCTTGATGAGCTGAGTGATGAGCTCTGCCGTGTGCTGGAAGTGGATTTTTTCTGTCGGAAGGAAAGGAGAGAGAGGGACGTGTTTGTCCCCACCCGGGACGCCGTTGGGGTGTGGCCTTCCCCGGGTCCCCAGGGAGTGACTGTCCTCCGCCCTCACCGTCAGCGGTCGCGTGGATGATCAGGAACTGCTGTCCTTCCAGCGCTGACACCCGGTGGCCCACCTTGGTCATCTGCACGGGCGGGGGCAAGGGGACAGAGTCAGTGGCCGTGCTGCGGGGGCTGGGCGGTGTGTGTGCAGAGACCCCCCGAGAATGGAGGGCGGGGTCTCGGAGTCAGACCTCGCGAGAACTGGGGCTCTCCGTCCGCGAAGAAATGCCCAGCCTACCCAGAAGCCTCTGCTCTCCTCCCACGAACCCCCTTGACGAAGAGGAGGGGGCGCGGGGACAGGAATGGAGACACGCTGGCCTCCCCGGGGACATCTGCATCGAGCCACCGAATGGCCGCGACTTAGCAGGACACATCGTGGGGGTCGTCTGACCCCCAGGCCATAGGTTCTTCTTCCAAAGCGGAAGCAGCCTTGGGTGTGGGGTGGGGGCAGGGGACACGTACACCCCACCTCTGAGGACCATGGGACAGACTCTGCCGTCCAAAGACTTTCTTCCTTGTCCCCCCGAGTTCCAGAATGGGACAGGACACCCACCCCAGGGGGTCGCAGCCACCTCTGGTCACAGAGCGGTAGAAGGAGGGGGGGAGGGGAAGTCTCCTCGATGGGAGCGGAGGTCAGGGGTGGCACCCTGGGAGGGGGCGTGGGTTCGGGGTGGGCGGGGGAGGGAGGGAGGAGCTCAGAGAAGAGGTGACGGATGTCATCGGAGTCCCCACCTGGCCAAGGGGAAGGGCACCCACACCTACCTCATAGGCTCTGTTGTCAAGCCCGTGGAGGCCCAGGTACCTCTCGGAAAACGCAGACGCTGCACAGAAGCAGAGGGACAGAGGGTCACCGGTCTGGGCGGAGCCCGCACTCGGGGGTCCCCGGATGCCACTCGAGGACAGGGCTGTGGCAGGGTGGGCTCACGTGCTCTCGCCCAGCACGTGCCTTTAAAACCCCCAACTTGTCCTCTTGGGTGTTTCCAGGGAAATCAGAGGGAGCCGTGGAGACACGGAAACACGCGAGGGCCCGGGACTGGGGTTCGGGCAGCAAGGCGAAGCCTTAATTCGGCAGGACCCGCTTAGCCAGACCCCAAAGAAACGGCTCCGCAGTCCGCGCGCCCGCCGTGCGGGAGGGAGAACGACGACCCAGAGCCAGCTCCCGCGGGGATCTGCCCCGTGCTCAGCCTCGGCGTGGCCCCTCCCGTCCCCGGCCCTGGCCCAGGTTTGCGTGAGGGTCTGGGGCTGCCCTGTCTGCAAAGCTCCTCCAAACGGCCCCCACCCACGGGTTTCGGGGAACATCCCTCATTGAGCGGCAGGGTCAACGCCCTGTCTGGGGCAGGGTGGCGCCAGGTGGGGGACGGGCAGTGCTGATGGCCCGTGAATCAGGCACATGGGAAATGGCATAATTAAAAAAAAATAAAGACTCACCGAGCTTCAAAAATATAAAATCTGCTCTGTGCATTCCCGGGGGAAACTCATCTAACTAGTTAAAATCTGGAATTGAGGGTTCTCGGGCGATGGTCCGCTGACATTTGCATTCGAACGTTTTGTAAAGGTCGGCGTGGGAGCCCGGGGCTGCTGGACGCCACAGTGGTCCCCGGACCCCTCAGCGGGCACGTGGGAGGGCTCGAGTCACACAGCCACTCACGCCCAGAGCAGAGGGGCTGGCCGGCCAGAGGGAGGGGGCGGTGGGGGCCTCAGACCCCCTAACAGTGACACGGACCCACATCTGTGCCCAGACCCAGGCCGGACCCTGTCCCTGGTCTCCGGGTCCTGCCACTGGGAAAGCCCCTCACTCTCCCCAAGGACAGGGGCCCGCCCTGCCCGGGGCGGGGGTGGGGTGGGGGGAAGGCAGGCGGGGGCAGAGGGGGGCTGAGCCCTCGTAACTGTCCCCACTTCCACCGCATGGAGCAGTCTCTGTTCCGCCCACCTGCCCACCACGCCCCCTCCCCCGGGACACAGAGCTCACGCGGGTCCCCTGCCTGGGGGCTTGGAGCCCAGGGGCAGGGCAGCCCTGGGGAGTCTCGGTTCCGTCCTGCCAGCGGGCGCACCAGGGTCAGAACCACTGGCTGAGTCTTCTGGTCGCAGGAGCTGGGACATAGGTCATAGGCACAATGCGGGGGGGACAAGGGACTTGAAGTCCTCCCTCTCTTTCCCCAGGTTCTCTGTCTGCGCTTCCCCGGTGAGCCTGACAAGCCCCGTAGTTTATCGCCCACTGTGGGTGCCCGTGTCGGGGCGGGTGAGGGGGCGGGTGAGGACACGGGGCCCGAGGGAGAGCAGTGCCGGGAGGCGGGGGACCACAGGGCGGGGCGTCTAGTCAAGGGCATTACCGTAGAGCTTGAAGTCTGTTATCGGGGAGAGCGCAGAGCCGCAGGCGAAGATCTGGCCTTGGTTGTCACCCTTGGCAGGGAGGAGGTGGGTGCTCAGGTAGCCCCCGTAGTCCTGGGCAGAGAGAAAGGCGGTCAGTGGGGGCACACGCCATTCCTCCAGCCGCGACAGTGGCCTCGGAGGCACCGGCCACTCAAGCAAGAGTTCTCACGGAGCTGCTTAAAAAAAAAAACATTCAACTTCCAGGTTTTTAAAGGCAGGTAGAAAATAGAAACTGAATACCTTCCCAACTACACATTCCGAGATGCACGTCTTGCCCTCTTTGGGGCCCCAGTCTGAGGTGACAGGAAGGTGGCAGGTGAGAGTGGCCTGCAGTGTGTGACTGGGTTCTGGGTATGGGGGGTGCCGTGGGGCGCAGGGCTGGCCCCACGCCCCGGAAACAAGCCCCCTTGCACTGAGTTTCCTGCTGGTTCCTGGCCTCCGGGCACAGCCAGCCTGCAGCGTAGGATGCCATGTGATTCTGGGTGGGTAGTGGGGGGCTGGCCAGGGCCCCATGTCAAAGGGCCACGGTGACAGTGGCTGGTTTGGGGGCCGCCATGAGACAGACACCCGTGCGTGTGCTCTATTGCCTTGGGGTCCACACGAAAGACCCCCTTCCTGCACCCAGATTGTTGCCGCAGCCGCGTTCTCAGCCGCTGAAGCTAGGAAGTAACTGGGGTGCCCGTCGGCAGCGGATGGAAGAATAAACCAGGGCCCACCCGGACTCAGCACCAAAGCGGGGGAGCTCGGGAGCCGTGAAAAGACGGGGGGGGGCGGTGCCTGGAAGGCCTCTCGCCGCGCCCGGCTTAGAGCCGAGCTGCCCTGACACCTGGACATCACGCCCACTGGCGTGGCTTCGGCTTTGTCGTGTTCCCATTTCAGCGTGATGAGTTTCCCCGATCGTCGGTGGGAAACCGGTGACTCACGTGTTCACTCTGTGGTTTGCCTCGTCCCGTGTGCTGCCCTTTCAAAACCGAGTGGCAGGGAGAAAGCGGGGGCTGCCCACTGCGCGGGGAACAGGGCCAGGCGGCAAAGGCCACCCGGGGCCAGACGCGGGTCCGAGCTTCTCAGGGACCCGGTGGCAGGGGCAGGGAAAGGTGGGCAGGGCACCGAGGGCGTCAGGGCAGTGAGACTGCCCGGGGTGACCCTGTGATGATGGACGCAGGTCCTCGTACATCTGCCCCACGTCACACAGCGGACGACACCCGGAGTGACCCATGGCCTCGGGGTGTCCCTGTGACTTCACCCGTTCTAGCCAGGGCTCCCTCCGGTGGCGGCGCTGATAGAGGGGGAGGCTGTGCGCCGGGCAGGGGGTGCAGCGAGCGGGGGGGAATCTCCACCTGCATCCCAGTTTAGTGGAGAACCTGAGATGCTCCGAAACACAAAGCCTGTCCCGTCGGTTTCCCCTGGGGACGCCCCCCACCATGCGGTTCACCTCCCGGCGTTCCGCTCTTACAGAAATAGCTGCTCGCACGCCACCAGACCAGAGACACCCCCGGGAGGCCCGCCCCAGGCCCCCAGGCCCGGGTGGGTGAGGGGCCGTGCAGGACCTGGCCCTGAGCTGGGGGCGGGGGCGGGGGCGGGCAGACTGCAGAGAGCGCACTCACCTCCCCAAACACGCCCACGCGCGTCTTATCGATGTACGACTCCTTCAGCATCATCCTGCGGAGCCCAAGGACGCGGGTTAGTTCCCTGGCAGGGCTGCCTCTCCGTCCCCAGGGGCCCCGGGCCGTCTCCGGGTAAAGAGCCCCAGGGGCCCGAGGAGACGCTGGAACTCTGACCCGTGCATTCACCGCGTGCACCGGGCTGGCGTCTGGGCTGTCCGCCCACGTGACAACCTGAGGACCCCTCTCGATGGTGCTGAAGGCCCCCAGGAGCTAGTGTCGGAGATTCCCGAGCACAGAGCAGCCAAGGCCGTGCCGAGGTGTGGAGTGGGCACCTCCTGTGCTCCCCGCAGCAAACCCTGCACCCCCTTGGGGGGAGGCCTTGGCCTCCTGGGGTCCCTTCCCGGTGGCTGTTTGCCCTGAGGCCCGTCTGGCACCAGCAAGGCTGCACCATCTATCACAGGACCTCCCCTGTCCCTGACACCGGCTCGCCCAGTGAGGGGACTCTGCGCACGTCCCCAGCAATGGGAACTGCCACCCCGGGCTCAGAAGCACGAGGTGGGGGCCAGTAGGGACCGAGAAGGGGCCGGGAGCTTCGGCGAGGAGCTGGTGCGCTGGGCTGGCCTCGCGGTCTCTTAACCCGATCAAAGGGGCCGTTTCTCTCGGAGGAGTGGGAATGCAGACCCGGGTCCGAAAGAGAGCTGAGGGGGTCACAGATGCCCTGACCGGAAAGACACCGGAGAGGCCGGTGGAGGGGGGGGGCCCCCCGAGGGCACGCGCAGCCGCCGCCCCCGCCCCCGCCACCCCCGCCGGGACGCCCCCCGGGGCCCTCACCGCACGGCCTCCAGCTGGTCCCGCTCCTCCAGCACGCCCAGCCGCCGCCGCACCTCGTGCAGGAGCCGGGTGCCCTGGAAGCCGCTGCCCCGGCCGTCGCAGCGCAGCACCACGGCCCCGTGGCCGCTCACCAGCACCGTCTGCCAGCTCACCGCGAACCTCTCCGCCACGCTCTGGCTGCCCGGGCTGCCGTCCCTGCAATGGACGGACGGACGGACGGGGCTGCGGGGGCTGCGGGGGCTTCGGGGTCTCCCGGCGGCTGAGCCCACGCAGCCTGGCCGCGCCCCCGGCTGCCGCCCACCGGCCGGGGGCCCCAGTTTGGTCGCCTTGGGGGGCCCTGGGGTCTCCCTGAGGTCGCGGGAGAGGCCAGCGTGGGGGGAGAGGACACCGTCCGTAGCTTCAAGACAGATGGAAACCTGTTTCAGCAGGAGGAAGGGGTGGTGCGGGAGGAGTGTGTGCCGTGTGTGTCTGTGGTGTGTGTGATGTATGCGTGTAGTATGTGGTATGTTGTATGCACGCATGTGCTGTGTGTGGGGTGTTGGTATGCATGTATGTGCTGTGTGTGCATGTGACATGTGGTATGTGTGTGTGCCTGTGTGGTGTGTATTGGTGCGTATGCATGTGGTGTGTGTGTTGGTGTGTGGGGTATGTGTCTGTGTGGTGTGTGTCGGTGTGTATGCATGTGATGTGTGTTGGTGTGTGGGGTATGTGTCTGTGTGGTGTGTGTTGGTGTGTATGCATGTGATGTGTGTGTGGTGTGGTGTGGTGTGTGTTGGTGTGGGGTTTGTGGGGTGGTGTGTGAGGTGTGGGTGCTGTGTGAGTGCGGTTCTTGGCCGAGTGCTGACCCGCCCGGAAGCGAGGGCGGCGGGAGGACCACAGAGTCCGGGACCAGGTCCAGGGTGCGCTGGGCCAGCTGAGCTGGCTCATCGGGTTTGGGGCCGAGGCGGGTGGCTGCCCGGTGGCCCCTGATACACCCCGGGGGCCCCTGCTCCCCCTGACCCCTTCCAAGCTGACAGGCGGCAGAGTGCGGGGAAGACCAGACAGGGAGGAAGGGATGGGCTGACCCATCCGGGGGGGGGAGTCAACCCCGGCACCCGCTGAGGGCCTGGCTGCTCCCCACTGGGGGGTGGGGGTTCCTGATCAGAGCCCCCCCCACCTCATCGGGGCAGGTTAGAGAGCTCTTAAAAAGCCATTCTAAACCTGGGGGCCTGCTCATTAGCACAGGAATATCTGAAATAATTCTTTTTTGGCCAGTACGCAGGTTCAAGGCCACTTTCTTTGTAGCTGGAAATTCGGCCCGGCCAGCAGGCCAGGCCACGGGCAGTGCCGGTGGCTGCCCGGGCCCCCACTGAGCTGCAGACAGCACGCGCCCGCCCCTCCCGGGTGTGGTGGGGCACTGCCGCCGGCTTGCCGGACCGGGCCGAGCCCCAGGACCGGCCACGGCGGCGTGGAATCTGAGCGTGGACCTGCTCACACTGACACACTGCCCCGGGGAGGGCGGACAGAGGGTGAGCCCCCGCCCCTTGACACGCGGGGTCAGCGGTAGTTACAAAGACACCTGACCCCGGCCGAGGGTCAACCTGAGTTTTCACTTTGCAACATCACAGCTCCCTCGCGTCGTCGTGGGGCTTACGAGTCCCGGGCCTGTCCCTCTGGGGGGTCCCTGAGCCCCCAGCCGGCACCCCGGGAAGGAGGAGGCGGCGTACTCACACCACCAGGAGCAGCGGGTAGTGGGCGGTCTCGGTGAAGGTGGCCGGCTTCAGGATCTGCACGGGCAGGCCTGGCGGACACAGAACACGGGCGGCGGGTTAGGGCCGCGGGCCGGGGGCGGGGGCGGGCCGAGGGCAGCGTGGGGCTGCCTGCGGGGTTCTCCAGCCGAGGATACGTTCCGTCTTGCGAACACGATGAGTTGGAAAACAGGAAAGACGTGATTCTCCGAGAGCTGGAAAGAGGTGGGCGGGGGAGGGGGGAATCCAGGCAGGGAGAACGCACCCCCGCCCCACCGCGGAGGGCGCAAGGGCACCTCAGCGGGGGAGGGGCCCCGGGGAAAGTGGGGACCCGGAGGAGAGGCGAGATGCTGTAGCTGGCAGTGAGGTTGGGGCGGCAGCCTGGAGAGGAGGCTGGAGGCTGTGGGGACCCTCTGTGCAAAGCCCCGGGCTCTGCCTGCCTTAGTGTTTGCAGGCTGGTGCTGGGCGGGGGTGCCTGCCTGTGGGCCTGGACACTCGGACACTGGGACACTCGGACACACACACACACACACACACACACGCACACACGGGGAGGAAGCCGGGGTAGCGGGGGTGCGCGTGTGTGGAATTTTCCTCGCCGGTGCCTCGGTCCTCCCCCAAACAAACCTGCCTGCCCAAGATAGACATTGTTTATTGACATTAACTATAACCCAGATTAGCAATTAAATCGGAATTAGCGGCCTTCCCCGCGGGATTCCCGAGGGCCCACCCCAGGCGGGGGAGCCTGCTCTCACTGGGTCTCATCTGTGGAGACTGGACCGGAATGTTAATGGCTTGCAAATGGGCCGGACGCCCGGGGACAGCAGACAGGCAGGCCCAGGCCTCATCGCCAAATGTCCATACGACCTGGGCCGCTGCTCCTGGCCTCTGATACATACGCTGGTGGGCAGGCTGGGCCAGGGCGGGACGGGCAGACCGCGTTTCCCGAGAGCCCGTCAAGGGCAGCCTGGGCCTCCAGTGGGAAACCGCGACACGGCACAACAGAGATGGGTCTGCAGGGCGGCTCCTCCCCTGCCCTGCCCCCGTCCCCGGCAACCTCAGCGTGGAAAGAGGCCTCGTCGTGCAGAGGGGGAGGGGGGTGAAGGCTGCTGACTGGTCTCTGAAGGTCTTTTCTGCACCTTTCCAGGAGCAGGTGGACCGCCCTTGGGTGCCCTGGGGTTTGGGAAATGTCATGGTGGCGGCAGGGTGCAGAGAGGACCGGAGAGTGGGGGTCCCCGCAAAGGAAGGCCCCCCATCCCCAGAGGCTGCGGGAGGACGCAGTGGATGTGAGGAAACTCCGAGGGGGGGTTCGGGAAGGCCTGCGGACGGAGGGTGGGGGGGTCAGGAACCTGAAGCCCGGCCGTGGAGGCGCACCCGGCTGGCTTCCCAGGGTGTGGCCCCACCTAAGGGCCTTCTGTGGGCTTAACGCTCTGCTGTCGTGATAAACAGGGGAAGAGGCACCCCGACTGTCAGTCCTCGCTGGGCCCCGCAAGTCACGGGGCCTGGCCTGAGGTCTGCATGCATCCGTCCATCTGTCCACCCGTCCATCTGTCCATCCTCCATCCATCTACCACCCGTCCATCATCCATCCACCATCCATCCATTCATCCACCCATCCTCCATCCATCATCCACCATCCTCCATCCATCCTCCATCCATCCATCCACCATCCTCCATCCATCCATCATCCATCCATCCATCCATCCTCCATCTACCACCCACCCATCATCCATCCATCATCCATCTGTCCATCCTCCATCCATTTACCACCCATCTATCATCCACCCATCCTCCATCCATCCATCCATCCACCCAACCATCTCTCCATCCATCGATCCTCCATCCATCCATCCACCATTTATCCATCCATCTCCATCCATCCACTTTCCATCCATCATCCACCCATCCTCCATCCATCCTCCATCCATCCATCCACCCATCTATCATCCATCCATCATCCATCCATCCATCCATCCTCCATCTACCACCCACCCATCATCCATCCATCATCCATCCATTCATCCACCCATCCTCCATCCATCATCCACCCATCCTCCATCCATCCTCCATCCATCCATCCACCATCCTCCATCCATCCATCCTCCATCCATCCATCCATCCATCCATCATCCACTCATCATCCACCCATCCTCCATCCATCCATCCACCATCCTCCATCCATCCATCATCCATCCATCCATCCATCCTCCATCTACCACCCACCCATCATCCATCCATCATCCATCATCCATCTGTCCATCCTCCATCCATTTACCACCCATCCATCATCCACCCATCCTCCATCCATCCATCCATCCATCCACCCAACCATCTCTCCATCCATCGATCCTCCATCCATCCTCCATCCATCATCCATCCACCCACCCACCATCCATCAACCATCCATCATCCATCCATCCTCCATCTATTCATCCATTATCCATCCACCATCCATCTACCCATCCATCCATCCATCCTCTACTAGCAATCTAAAACTGTCTTGTTTTGTTTTGTTTTGGGTTCTTCCTTGCAGAAGAACAGCACGAGAATGCCCGTCCCGTTAATGTGAGCACTCTCACGAGTCTGGACCTGAACACCGGGACTCTGGCGTCTGCGTGCAGGTTTGAACCAGCGAATGGCGTCCTCCGTGTGGGCGGGCCAGCTCTTCCTGTGACGTGTCCCCTTGGAATCTGTGGCGTCCTGCCACCCGGGTCCCCCGTAGGAGGACACCCGCCCCTGCGCCCTGCGGAGTGACTCTCCATGCAGGGAGAGGAGGGCGGGCGAGACCGCCGGCCGACTGGGGCAGAGGTCCCCGCCTTCCCCCCGGGGGGTGGGGGGGGACTACTCACGGTACTCGTCGACCTCGATCTGCCTGTACTCCACCTTGGGCATCTGCCGCTCGCTGACGGCCTTCTGCACGTGCTCGTTGGTCTCCAGGTCGAACATCTCTGGGAGAGAGCGGAGGACAGAGCAGCGCATTCGGAGTCCGCCACCGCCTCCCGAGGCCGCCGGCGTCCACGTGCACCATGCCGCTCGGGCCTACGCCCGTCCCCGATGGCGACCCGTGGGACTGCTCTCGCCCCGGCCACGGGACGGAGACATTAGCCACCTCACCGAGGCGACAGTCAGGAGCCTGGGAGGACGGGGGTCTCCCCGCTGTGTCAGGAGGCACCCCCCAGCTCCGTAGGGTTTTGTTGCCAGTGGCTTTTCTCACACTGTCAGCCCGGGTGCGTTTTGTCCCCAGACTGCGGGTCTGGGGACACCGGCGTCACGTGCGGGGCCCGGCAGCCGTGAGGTCTGCTGGGTGAGTGCGGCCGGCGGGGCGGTGATGCGGGGGTGGGGGTGGGTGGTTTTCACGCGAACACTTCACCTGAAACGTCACGTGGTGCGCTGGAGCGTCACACTATGTTACAGAATGGCACGCCTATGCTTTTGTAATAAAAGATTTTGTAACGAAACGGGGACATTGTTTGTGCCGGACGCCGCTCGTGTTAGGGCGAGTGGTTCTCCCAAGAGAGCGGCCGCAGCAACCCAGGGAGGGCTGGAGATCAGGAGGGGCGTCTTTGGTTCTGGGAAATGTAAGACCCCTGTGTCGTGCCCTCATCACGAGGGTCTCTGGCTTTGGGAGCCTCCATGTGGGGGGACGCCCGCTGCCAGCCCAGCCCTCACCTCACCCTCCACCTCTGGGTCAGAGACGAGCTCAGCCCTGCGCCTCACCTGACACGCGCCCACCTGGTCCCTGGGCACCTGGGCACCCTGGGACACACGGGTGCCGCCCCTGCCTGTCGCCCCAGGGGCACAAGAGCCCTCTCACCTGCCACTGCAGCCCTCTCCTGGGACGGCCTGTGCACCGCACCTCCCCCGCTGACAGGCAACAAAGCCGCCCGCCTTCCTCACCTCCTCCTCGCATTAGCCGCCCTGTGGGGACAGCCTGTGGTCTGCGGTGACCGGGAATCCTATCTTCAGGGGATGCTGCCGTGAGCCCGTCCGGTCACGCCGAACACCCCCCCCCCCACGTCACGGCCGGCAGGTGTCACAACGACCGTGGGGCTGGCCTGTCCACCGTGAGATAAACCCAGGGGGCGGCAGCCACGGGCCTTGGGGGGTGCGAATGTGGGGCGCACTAAGAAATGGCCGCTCCCAGAGAGGCGTGGGATTGGCAGGCACAGTGTCCTCCCGACGAGAGCAGCCGAGGGCCTGCCCCTCCCAGAGACGGGGCCCCACGTGCCGGGACGGCTCCGGTAGCAAGGCTGCCCCAGCTGGCTCCAGTTTTCCATGGAAGGGGTCTGACCGGAACCTCTCACAGTTGTGGAGCCTGCGCCCCTCTTCCTATGGGGGCGGGGCATCTGAATTTGCAAGTTCTGATCTCACCCGGCTGCTTCCAATGCTGGCCCCGAAGGAGAGACGGCGTGCCCAGGGGGCCTGCGGTTCCGCTGCCCGCTGCCGCGTTAAGCCGGCCCGGAGGCAACCGAACTCGGACTCGCCACCCAAGTGCCCGTGTGCGGCGATTCCCGCAACTCTGAGCCGCGGCGGCGGCACGTGGGGGCGCCCCGGCCGATCAGGCCCGGGTGCACCACCCGCATTTGCATAGCCCACCCCCGGCCAACCTTCAATTCCCACCCTTCACGGAAGGGCACCAAGGCAGCGGACTATTAAATTCAGTTAAATATCAGCTCCCTCGTCTCGTGATGGCCCACGCGACGGGTGTTATCAGCAGAGAGCGGGCCGCCCCACAGGGGAGCCGGGGTAAGCCGTGTTATTTGTCCCCGTAATTGCATTCAGAGAGGGCCGGCTCGGCGGAGGAAATGAGATCGCGAGTCCCCCCAAGGGCTCTGCTCGGATGCAGGGGGGCCGTGGGCGCCCCCCCACCCCGACCCCGGCTGCAGCGGGCGGATGGCCACTCCTTAATTAAACGTGAGTCTCCTTCAGCGCTGCATGGGATTAGCTATGACCCAGGGCAGAGGCACAAAGCCTGCTCCTGGGGGCTGCCCGCCTCCCTGGCTGCACCCAGAGGTAGAGGCGGACACGGCCCCCCACACCCCAGACTCCTCCCAGACGCCCCCTGGTGGGGGCATCGGGAAATCACCGCTGGGCTGGATTTGGGGAAATGAGTGGCCGGAGTCTTACAAAACCTGAGAGCAACCGACCTGAAGGAGAGGGCAGCCTGCTGTGCTCCGCACGTGTCTGCAGGAGGCCACGTGTGTGAGTGCACGTGTGTGTGAGTGCATGTGTGTGTGAGTGCATGCACGGGGAGCATGCCCCGCATTCCCCGGAGACAGGAGCGAGGCCGAGACTGGGGCCGAGGGGTGGACAGGCCACGCTCTCTGCCCGGCCTCCACCCGGTGTCACCCGGACGCCAGCCGGCCCGCCCACTGTGCACCTTTGCTCTTGAAGGGGCTGTCCACACACTGACCGCCCCCCACCCCTGGAAAGGCCGCCGTGAGCGGGGCCCTGGGGCCCGGGAGGGCTTCCGGCACACAGACAACCAAGGGCCTGACGGGACCGTCACTCCATGCTTTCTGCCACCCCCCGGCCTCTCCCGTGTTCCCCCCGCCTGCCTGCCTGCGAGAGGAGGGGCCGTCCCGGGGGTGGTTCCTCGGGAAGAAGCAGGGGCGGCCCCACGAACCAAGGGACAGACGCAGAAGAGACCGCGGCTGGGACGACCTTGTAAGAGCCCCACCTTGACGCCCGCGGCCAGAGGGAGCTGGCCTTGTTTCTTTACAAAAGCCCAGCCGGGTGGCCGTCCCCTCACCCCCGGGCCGGGACCCGCCAGCTCAGGCCGCACCCGCTCTCCCTCCGCCATGGAAACCCGCCATGTCCTCGTCGTCAGGGTGGCGCTGGGTCTTCTGCCCCGGCGCCCGGCTTGTCGGGGCACCCGGGTGCAGACACTCTGCCCCCAGCCCCAATCACGCTCTTCAGGAAACGGCTCGTAAGTAATTCAGAGTCACATCTGCCAACAGCCCGGCGGGCTCTGCCTTTCTCCCTCCTCCCCGCCTGGACGCAGGACGCCACCCGCCGGAGGAGAGAGGAAGGGGCAGCAGCATCCGCTGCCCCAGCGGCTGCCGTTCTGCATTTCCTGCTGCACACAGCCCAGTAAAACCCAAACAGATACAGCAGCTCTTTATATTAAACATAGTTTTTTAAAAATCCTCATTCGAGGGCATGCTTATTGATGAGAGACAGACAGACATTGACTGGCTGCCTCCCCGTGCACCCCAATCAGGGATCGAACCCGCACCCCAGGCAGGTGCCCTGACCGGGAATCGAACCCACAACCTTTTGGTGTCCGGCACGGCGCTACAACCCACTGAGCACCCCGGCCAGGGCAACGGCTCTTTGTATCTTAAGAGAAGCCTTTGTCCTGGCCCACGGGAGCGAGGAAGAGAGACGGCCCTTGGAGCAGCACCAGGCACAGGGGGACGGGGGCTCCGCCCGGGAGGCCTTCCCGGCACCGCAGACCCCCGGGCCTGGGCCTCCGTCAGACCCCGCACGGAACACCAGCCCTAGTCCCCTTCGCGGGGTGGGTGGCGCGCTCACGGCTCCTTTCCCGACTTGACTCGCGGCTTCCGCCAACGTTCCGAGACTTTCGGGCCCCGCCGAGAGAGAGCAGCAGACGCAGCGGCGGGCGGGACAGGGAGAAGGAGCCCCAGAGTGTGACCCGGGCCGGAACCCGGGGCTCAGACGCGGCGCCACACAGAGGACCCGACGACGGCCGTCCAGCGCAGCGGGGCCGTCCTCCCCGTCGCTAAATCCCGCGCAGAGGGCAGGGCGCAGGGCCACGGAACGGCCGCACCCTCAGCCGCGCGAACCCAGCGCTTCTCACGTCCTGTTCCCCGGGCCCCCCTCTGCCTCGGGGACGCGGTCACCAGGGGGACAGCGCGAGGGCGAATGGAAGAACGCTCCTTAAAAGCACCCCTTGACCCGGGGGGCTCCCCGGCAGCGTTTGGAAGGACAGACGGGCGCCCACACGCTCTGGGCGTCGGCGCTGTGGGGCTGGGGGGTGCCGCCGCGGACCGGCCACACAGGCAACAGGAGGCGGCGGTCCGGTGTCCCGGGGGGACCCCATCACACTCGCTCGGGGGCCTCGGTGGGTTCGCCGCACTCTCCCTAGAGCCTCCCACGCCCCGGCCGTCCACGGGAACTTCCGGAAGGGGCGCATCGAGTCCCGTGCCCCCAGCACCCACCCCACTCCTGCACCCCTCAGTTGTGACCCCTCGTGTTGGGAAAGCACAACCCGGGCCCCGCCTCCTGCTCGGCCGCCTCAGCCCCCAGAGTCTTCAGAAGGGACACGAGGCGCGTGCCTCTGCGTTTTAGTGGAAATTCAAAGTGGAAAATGTGCATTTTCTTAAGACAGTAAACAGCCGTCCCATGCCAACCTGCATGGAGTATGTATCTTCAAGCAAAAAAAGTTACGGGTTCCTGGGGGTCCCCGGGAAGGGGGTCCCCGCAGCAGCAGGGGCGTGGAGCCCCTCCCACCGTGCAGGGGCCCCGGACCCACGAGGACGGGCGAGCCTCGCGGTGCCACCGAGCCCGGTCCCCAGGGCAGGTCGTAAGGGGGCACAGGCTGAGCCGGGCTGTGGCTGTGTCTGCGAGGCGCCCCGGCCGGGTGGGGCGGGGCCTCGGGCTTTCCCTCCCGTCACATCTGAGCCCCGCTGGCTGGCGACGGGGTGCTCCCTGAACGCCTGGACCCGCCTGTTCCCGTCCCCAGTGGACACCGCGGCCGGGTGGTCTCACAGCCCAGCTCTGCCTCCCTCCCCCAAGTCCCAGGGAGACGGAGAAAGACCGGAAGGACTTACTTTTCTGGTCCGTGGTGTTGTGCACGGTCACCATGGGGACGCCGGGACCTGCATCACCGGGAGGGGAGACCGGGAGACACACACAACGAGACTGTTAGTGGGTCTGGGGGCGGAAGGTGAGTCCCAGCCTGGGTTCCTGCTCACACGTCTGTGAACTTGGGCCGTGGGGGGGGCAGTTATTTATTTTTAATCCTCACTGAAGATGCTTATTGATTTCAGAGAGACACAGAGAGAGAGAGAGAGAGGGAGACTTCGATCAGCTGCCTCCTACACACACCCCCACCGGGGGTCGAACTCGCAACCTTCTGCTGCCTGGACGGCGCTCCGAGCCCCTGAGGCGCCCCGGCCAGGGCCGAGACTTCTGTTGCATAACCTCCTTCCTCAGCTGCGCTGCAGAGGCTGACCCTTGACATTGTTTTGTTGCTTTTACCGATGGGGCAGGCCCACCGGTGTGTGAGGTCCGTCCCCCAGTTAGCTCGCGGGACGTTTTTAAAACGGACAACGTAGACAGGTTGGGGATTAACGGACGCCGTGTGGGCGGGGCCGCCTGTAACCGGTGTTTAAGGCGTCAGATGCCCGCGCTGCACCGGACTGCCACCCCCGCCCCCCCTGGCCGGCCGCGGCGGGGACCCACCTTCGCAGGTGAGCAGGAAGAAGTCGGCGCCGTGGCTGAAGGAGGCGCTGACGTAGGCGCAGTCGCCCACCAGGTCGCAGGACAGGCACTGCCTGTTGAAGGGGCCCACCGTGCTGGCGCTGCGGGGGCAGAGGCAGCGGCGTGAGCCCGGGGCGGGGGGCGGCGGGGAGGACCCCCACCCAGGGGTCCCAGGCTCCCCGCCCTCCCCTCGGACGGGGCCCTTTCACCCGCCCCCCTGCTGGGGCGCCAGCCCTGCCCCTCCCCGAGGGAGGCCGCCACACGGTCCCTCTGTGAACTGTCTCCTCGGTCCCCGATGCTGTTTGCCGCCTGAGCACGCCCCCGGTGTGGGGACGCTAGTGCTCAGGGTCACTGTCCAGCACTTGGTGCCCACACCCGTCCCTCTGAGCACAGGCTCGGCTCTGGAGGACGGGTGTCCCCGGACCCGTGAGTCCCTCCCGGGGCCTGACACTGGCAGGGGACAGGCAGGAAGTCCGGAAACCCCGCCCAGCGGAGTGCGGGCTGTTTCCGAGGCCAGTGGCCCGGGGCCTCGCTCTCACTCAGGGGACCCCGTACATCGGGACCCACGGGGCCACTGCGTCCAGTGATTTCATGTCCGAGAGGCCGGACGTGTGTCCCCGGGACCTGTGTCCCCGGGATGTGAGTGAGCGCGGCCCAGGGAGCCGGCACTGCGCCCGGAGCGGGGTCCCGTCTGCCCGCTCTGCGTGCGCAGTGCCAGCCGGGAACCCGTCTGCGAGGGCAAAGCCGCTCAGGGAGAGAGAGGGCGCCTCCCAAGGGTGCCAGCCAGCCAGAGGGACACCCGGCAGTCCGCGGGGGTCGGCGTTGACCAGCTTGGTGGCTGACCGCTCTGAGTTATCCGACCCACACGTCGGATGTGGACAGTCTGCCGTGGGGGGCAAGGCTGTGTGACCCCTCGGGTCTGCCAGCTTCCCCCTGTGCACACGCGGCCCTGTGGTGGCCCGGGGGATGGCAGGGGGCACGGCCACCGCCCGGGAGAGGGGACACCAGGCCTCTAGGAGCCACCCGCCTCCAGCCCCTAGGTCTCCGAGGACGAGGGCCGTCTGAGCTGCTCAGGTGTGTGCTGGCGGGGACCGCTGCCGCCTGCAGGCCCGGGAGTAGGGGCCCCGGGAGGGCCCCGCCGAGTGCCCGTTCCCCCCTGTGCGCATCCCACTTCTGAGCCGGGCGCCTCAGTTAGAGTGGTGGCCGCAGGGGTCTGTGCTGGAGGGGCTGGGCCCTGGGAAGCCCCCTCCCTGTCCCCCCGCCCCTGCCGCCCCCTTCTTCAGGTGACAGGACCCGACCGAGCGCCACACAGCACGCCAGCTGCGCCGTGGGGACAGCAGGGCTGGCCTCCTGCCCCCAGACCGGGGTCCCCGTACCTGTAGAGGTGTCGTCTCCGGGGCAGGTCCTCCGTGCTGAGGAAGTAGCTGCGGGCGGACACCGGCGGGCGTGCGGGCGTCAGCGGGCTCGGGCAGGCTCGGGGCCCCGCCCAGGCCCCCCCCCCCCCCACCGGGGCCTCTCTGTGCTCCCAAAGCTCCTGCCGGGCCCAGCCACACCACGGGCGGGGGGGTGGGGGCGGGGGACGGAGCCTCCGTGGGCCCTCGGGCTCTGCCGTAGGGGTGCGGACAGGGGCGGTCGGGTGCCCCGGGGTTCGGGTGCGGGAACCTCTAGCCTTCTGGGGGGAGGGCCCCTGGCAGAAGCCCTGGCTGAGCAACCCCACCGACCGGTCTCCCCTGCGGAGCCCCACGGGGCGCGCCGGCCCCGGCCCCTCGTCAGGGCGGATGGAGGCCACCTGGGCCTGGGCCGGCCTCGGCCGGGAGGAGCCCAGCCGCACCTGCTACCGCCCGAACCCCTGGGGGGGAAATCACTTCTTTTCGTCGTGGCCTGTTGGGTTTGCAAGTCAGGGGGCCAGAGGCCCGCCCCGCCCAACACCGTGTGGGGTGTGGCGCGGGCCCCCAGAGGCTCCCTGCGCCGGCAACCACCGGCCCCCGGCCCGGGCTGCCGGGCGGGGGTTCGCGCCTGCGTCCGGGGGCGGGGGGAACTGGGGCCTCAGGCGTCTGAGCAGGACAGGCCGGGCCGAGCTCTGTGCCCGGCCACCGGGGCTTCTCCGAGAGGCGGTGCGTGGGCGGCAGCCCGGGAGGACGGACGGCTGGTCTGGTCTCGGCCCCCCCGCCCCCACCCCCCTCGTTCACTCACATCTTATTCCGCTTCTCGTCGTAGGACAGGATCTTGGTCACGTCCCAGTCCCCCGAGGTGATGGACTGAATGTTGTCGTTGCTGCTGTTGGGCTGGAACACATGGGCCGGTGTGAGGGGCGGGGCGCGGGGCCCCCCCGTCCCGGAGCCCCTGGGTGCCGGGGGTGCGCCCGCCGCACCTGCCCGCCCCGCCTGGTCTCTCCTCCGGGCGGCCGACCACCCGGCCCACCCACAGCTCCCCTCCCCACGAAGGTCCCCACGAAAGTCCCCACGGGCACGTCTGGTGCCGGCACCACGCCCCCACAGCTCCCATTGAGACGTGTGCCTCTCAGGAGCAGAAGCACGGCTTTGAGGGCTGGGGACACGGTTTCCTTAAGACTGTCAATCAGCTAGTTCTCAGCACTGCGGGGGGAGGGAGAGGGAGGGGGGGAGGGCAGGAAGGGAAGAGAAGGAGAGAAGGAAGGAAGGAGGGAAGGAAAAGGGGAAAGAGGAAGGAGGCGAGGGGAGGAGGAAGAAGGAGAAGGAAAGAGGAAGGAGAGAGAGAAGAAGAGGAAGGAAGGAAGGAAGGAGGGGAGAGAGGAAGGAAGGAGGGAGGAAGGAGGGAAAGGGGGAAGGATAGAGAGAAGAAGAAGAGGAAGGAAGGAAGGAAGAAGGGGAGGGAGGAGGGAGGAAACAGGGAAAGGGGGAGGCCGGGCACGCCCCTCCACCAGCGTGGACGCGGCCGGGCTGAGGGGGCTTGCTGGGCACTTCGCCCGCCCGCGCCCCGTCTCAGTCTCCCAGAGCCCGGCGACGGCCGCAGCCGCCCTCTGTGACGGAGACGGGACCGTGTCCGCAGGCCCGTGGGACCCGAGGCGGGTGTGCAGGGGCCCGGGTGCCGGCCCAGGCCGCTGGCGGTGCCCCGTGGCAGGCGCCCGGGGGCAGGGCTGACCGGGTGGCGACGAAGCCAGGCACCGTGTCCAGGGCACACAGCGTGGGGACCGCAGAGTGGGAGGCCGTGGGCTGAGGGAGAGCCCGTGGGAGCAGGCGGGCGTGGGAGAAGCTGGGGGTGCGAGGGGCTCCCTGGGCGACGGGTGGTGGGTGGTGTGTGGGGGGGCCCACTTCCTGCTGGGATGCTTCAAAGCGTCCCCGGCACGTGCTGGCCCCGTGGATAAACCCCGAGTCCGGGGCTGAGTGGAGACCTGGAAACATGTTTGAATCCTGACAAAAGTCACCCACACCGAGGAGACACGGGTTATCAGTGATCACCGGATGGACGGTCCAGCTAGGCTGCCGACCGTCCGGGACACGGGATCCGATGGACTGGACACGGTGACGCCCGAACGTCACTCAGCCTTTGACAGCGCCGGCCCCTGGCGCAGAGTCACCCAGCGCCGGCCCCTCCTGCTCTGTGCACACTGTTCTTTCGGGGACACGCTTGGGATCTGGCCTTCGACACTGCCTTTTGGGCCTTCTCATAAACACGCGCATTCTACTCTATCCAGAGATTATTTCTGGTAACGTTATTTATTAAAAAAAAAAAAACAACTTTGCCTGAGCATATGTTTATGGATGAGACAGAGAGACAGAGAGAGAGAGAGGGAGAGGGAGAGAGAGATTGATTGGCTGTCTCCCGCACACACCCTTACCAAGGATCAAACTTGCAACCTGCATAGACACGTGCCCTGACGGGGAATCGAACCTACCACCTTTCTGGTGCACGGGATGATGCTCCAGCCAACTGACCCCTCCCCCCCCCGCCCCCCGGCCAGGGCTCTGAGAACCTTATTTTAAATCCGGTTTCACTCACCTGCCCGGTCCCCGGTCACTGAGACTCTTTCCCAAATGGAAAACACACCAAGGAGGAGGTTCCTGAAAATGCCACCCCCCCACCTTTTCCCGAGGACCGAGTCCCTGACCTTTCGGCTCCAGGGAGTGCCCTGGAGGAGGTGGGCGGGGTCCCGGGGGACCGCTCTGCAGGGCACACGGTCCCAAGGCTGTCCACGCGTGTTCAGCTCGGCCGTGAGCTGCCCTCCTCCGAACCAGACCCCGGACGCAGGGCGGACAAACACCCGAGTTTGGCTGAGCGTGCGGTGGGGCCCCTTGGGAGGCTGCACCAGGGGGCCCATCGTGCACGGGGCCCCCGGCCTCCAGGACAGAGTGCAGGGGACACCCCGCAGGCGGAGAGGGCAGGCTGACGGGGCAGGGTCCTCGAAACAAGTAGTGGACACAGGTCCTCGGGCTCACTCACGCCCCGTGGATGCCAGAGTCCCCTCGGATGCTGTCGGAAGTGTCACTCGGGTTTGGTGACATTAGAGGTCCCAGCGTGACCCACAACGACCCCACTGGAGCCTCTCACCGGGACCAGCGCCCCTCCCGCCCCTCCCAGTCTCGGTGCCCAGGGTTATCCGCCTCGGGGACTCGGAGGGGGCAAGCGCGCTCTGGGGGGCGGCCCCCGAGCAGCACGCCAGCCGGGCACTCACCTGGGAGGAGGACACGGCGATGTGGTAGAACTTGCCCTGCCCGCCCTGCGGGATCGCCCTCACGAAGAAGAACTTGCGCCCGTCCCCGGAGAACAGCGGCTCTTCGTTCTGTGGGCGACAGGGAGCCGGTGAGACGGGCGGGGCCCCCTGTGCTTGCAAGGGGCTGGGCGAGGGCGGACGGACGGACGGACGGACGCGTCTGGAGGGGCGTCTGCTACGCCGTCTCCAACTGTCGGTGGGGGGTGCCTTTCCTCCGTGGAACCGGGAGTCCAGCCCCCAGTTGCGTGAGGCAAGGGGAACCATGAAGAATTCACAGGGAACCCACGCGGTGCCACCACAGAGGGGACGTGGGTGCCACCGCAGAGAGCCCGGTGCTCGGGGAGCCCCGGGGGCCGTGCGTCCCCCTTGCACGTGTGGGGGGGGGGCTTGTTGAAACCGGGGCACTTTGCAGGGTTCCTCCGGGGGCACTAACGATCCATCACCAAGAACAGAATTCTGAACAGCGCCAAACACGATTCCACCTGAAAATAAATTTTATTCCCTCCTTGCTGTCTGTTTTTTCCTTAGCCCACCCAGGAGAGGAGAACAAGGACCAGCAAACAAGGATACAGTGTATCCACTCTAAGGACACACTGCATGCATTCTGAGGATACAATGTATCCGCTGTAGGCCGGGTGGAGGAAACCTCCCCCTGGACCTCACTGCGCTGAGGTGAGCTTGGAACCCGAGGAAAGTTGATGAGAAAAAAACGAACACCCCCAGTTTTCCCTGAGGGAGGGAGCCCCAGGCTGGACTCCCCGCCAGTGGCCACTGCTTCTGCCTGGTCCCCCCCAGATCTGAGCAGCCGCTGCTCAGCCCCCTGCCGGCCCCCTGTGGGCGGCTGTCACCCTGACGGGGCACAAAGAGGTTTTGGCGTAGCATCATCTCAGCCTCTCCAAGCTCCAGTTTGAAAGTTTCCCTCGAGAACACCAGTGAGTCGGCCGCGGTACACATTTTCTGACCCACGGAGCCGCGCTCACACGGGGACGGGAGGGCGGGACGGGAAGCGGGCCCCAGCTGGCACGCGGGGCCTCGCCTCCCCGCCGCGGACACGCACATGCAAATGTGACGCGCCCGGAGAAATAAACTAACGTGATTAAAACGGCACTTAATCTCCAGGAACATTTGCAGTGAAATGAAACCCTTAATCTGCAAATATTTATTCCCCCATTTGGGGTGGGGAGCGCGGCATTTCCAAGCGGAGGAATTGGCATTATTCCTTGTGCTTCTGTTTGCCGAATGCAGGGCGGACACCCCCGCGGTGCCCCGGCTTTCTGGGGGAGGGCTGGCACTTTCGGCAGAGAAAAAAGTGCTCTCGATAAATGGAAGAAAGAATTAATTCTGGCCAGAAGCGTCGTTTTTTTAGACTGAGAAGGCATGGATTGGGGGGACATCATCTTGACACTAATCCCTGGAACGTTCCATGGTGGGCGGGAGAAAGGCCAGCCTTGGAGCTTCCCTGAGGCTCTGTGTCTCGGGCAGTAAATGGGTTTTCGTGAGAGAGTGCAGTGGCTAGGAGAGCCAGGTATTGTTTTATCCTCACCCGAGGACATTTCTTCATTGCTTTTTAAAATTACTATTTAAAGATTTTACTTATTTATTTTTAGAGAGAGGGCAAGGGATGGAGAAAGAGGAGAGAAACATCAATGTGTGGTTGCCTCTTGTGCGCCCCCTACTGGGGATCTGGCCCGTAACCCAGGCCTGTGCCCTGACTGGGAATCGAACCGGTGACCCTTTGGTTCACAGGCTGGCGCTCAATCTACTGAGACACACCAGCCAGGACTCTTCATTGCTTTTTAGAGACAGGAAGGGAGAGAGAAAAAAAACATTGATATGACAGAGAAACATCTATCGGTTGCCTCTAGCGGGCTCCCCAGCCATGGCTCGAACCCGCAACCTTTCTGTGTGCCGGGGCGACGCTCCAACCCACTGAGCCACCCGGCCGGGGCAGAAACCTGGATGTTAACTCTGGTCCCCACCCTCGTGGATTTGGGGGGAAGCGCTTCTCGCCTCGCTGGGTCACACAGATGGCTGGTCACGCGTGACGCCCAGCCTCTCGCCCTCCGTTCACGGCACATCGTGGCAGAATGACCGCCTTTTCTCGGTGAGGTGCTTCGTGAGCGATGGGGGGACTCCCAGACCCGGTCGTCTCGGCCAGACCGTGCCATCACACAACGAAATCCCAGCCGGAGAGAGACGGTCAGAAACGCACCGACAGGATGGAGTCTTCAGCGGAAGCAGGATGGGCCGGTGCCGGTGCCAGTGCGTCCGCACCAGGACCTGCGCTGAAGGCCCCCGGCAGCGGCGATGGGGCGTGCGTGTGTCGGTGTGGGGGGACTGCCTCCCTCTCTGGAATATTCTCCGAGGAGAGGGCACTTGGCGGGTCTCCACCACGGGACACAGGTTCACCTTTGCCTCTTCTTGCTGGCCCTTGGGAGTCTCCGTGGGGGTCTCACTGCCTCTGGACAGAGATCGGAGGAAAATGGAGGATAATCCAGGCTGTTGGGACCACGTCCCAGACTCCAGTCTTCTCCCCAAACGGCACTGCGCCTGGGCCAGTGGGGCTGAGCATCTGGGACGCCTTCGTGATGGCTGGTGGTCAGCAGCCTCCCTGGCAGCAGGTGGCAGGTCCAACTCCAAGTCAGTTCCTGATTCGCCTTCTAGGACCTCCCGGTGTCTTGAAGGATGTGGAAAACTACAGATTAGTTTTGAAAAAGTGCATCTGTGGATTCATTTATGAAGAATGCCTTTGAAAGGAGCGTCATGAGAAATCGCGGAAACTGGGTTTTCCGATGCTGTGAAACTGATGCCACAGAAGCACCGTCCTGCTGGCAGGGGAGGGCTCCTTCTGAGGACCTGCCGTCTCACCCCGCCCCCCCAACACCCCTGCTCGGCTTTCCACAGCTGTCCAGAGACACATGCCATGTGCTTCCTATGGGCTTTACAGTCTACACTTTAAAACTGTAGCAATCGCACTCTCTGCCCCTTTTTAAGGGCTGCCTTGATTCTGTGTGGGAGGTCCAGCCTCTCACACCACACCCGGGCTGCCTACGGGGGGGCGGGGCTCGGTGGGTGTTCCCACACGGGCAAGAAATACGGGCGGATAAACGCAGAACGGTCTCCTGGTGGCGGAGTCTCCGCGGCCCCTCCGTGGAGGAGCCGACGCAGGGGTGAGCAACGGGAGTGGGGGCGGCTCCATGGGCCCCAAACTGGGACGACCCCCTGGGACGCTGGCTGGGGGGACTGCCTGACAGGGAAGCAGGGGCCCCTTGACCTGGCCTTCCAGCTGCCCCCGCCTCCCAGCAAGAAACACTGTCAGGTGCTTCAGTGAGTCCGTCCCTCACCTCCTCCTACGCGGGCGCAAGTTCTGCACGCACGTCACGGGGAGGCAGGGTCCCACTCCGCTCTCCCTGGTCCCCGCCCACCAGGAGCTCAACGCTGAAGTTTCCGGAACATACATGTTAAGGTGACTCGAGTTTGCTGCACTTAGAAATGTGTGAGTCCCTTTCTCCTCCCTTTCTACACTGCGACGTCTTGAGGGAAGGCTGCAGCTGATTCATTTATTTCATTTTTTACATCCTCACACAAGGATATGTTTTTATTAATTTGAGAGAGAGAGAGAGAGACAGAGAGAGAGAGAGAGAGAGAGAGAGAGAGAGAGAGAGAGGGAGGGAGAGAGAGGTTGCCTCCTGCACGTGCCCTGATTGGGAATAGAACCTGCGACCTTTCGGTGCATGGGACGATGCTCAAACCCACTGAGCCACACTGGTCGGGGCTCCAGCTGGCTCATTTAAAAAAAAAAAAAAGTCGAGGTGAAATTCACATGACACAAAATGAAACATTTTAATAACGGTGGCGGCGTTGTAGCACATTCGCAACACTGTAAACCACCCTCTACAGCCGGCTCCAAAACGCGCCCAGCGCCCCAAGTAGAAACCTCTCTCCGTGAAGCTGCTGCCAGCCACTCCCGGCTTCCCGTGTCCGCTGCGACCGTGTGTGCGTTCCGCACGCGGCAGCGGGGCCGCTCCGGGGGCGGGGCTGCTGCACCTGGCTGCTCTCGCTGGGGGCGCGGTGTTCTCGCGCGGCGAGAAGGTGGGGCCAATCCAAGGTCCAGCCGCAGAGAAGCAGCGTGCGGAGCATCCTCGTGGCGGAAGGCTCTTCGCCGTCGCGTGCTCAGCGGGAGCAGCCGCCTCATCTCTGACGCCCACGATGCCCGGCACGACCCACCCACCGCGGGCGAACGGCAGCCTGTACAGACGACGGACTTTCTCTGGCCCTCCCCTCCCTCCTCCCTGCCGTCTTGCCTGACCTACAGCGAACACCGTCGTCACGTACATCGCTGTGGCCGTCTGTGCTTGGGCGTCACTGGCCCAGGCGGCCGTCGGGGACACCCCAGCCCCCTCCCAGCGTAATCCCCCCACTAATATCTCAGGGCTCCCAACGTTGCTCATTCTGCTTCCCCGAGCTTGGACTTGGCCTCAAACTTGGATACGGGGAACCAAAAGAGGCCCCAGCGGCCATTCCTCTTTTGGGGATGTCCGGTGCGAAGCAGAACCGGATACATTTAAAAGTAACAGTGTCCATTTCCGAGGCCACCGCCCCCGAGAGAAGAGCTGGAAGGCTGGGACGGGTCGCTAACTCCCAGATAAGAGACGCACAGACCAGTCAGCTGCTGGATTACTCTGCCAGAGCCGCGGTGGCAGTCCCGTTGCCCGGCCTGGGGGCTCTCCACACACGGGGCCCATCCCATCGGCCGAGACGCACGCCTGGGCCCTGCTCACGCGATCTGGAGACTCAGACCTGGTTGGGTTCTCCCCACAGCATTTTCAGACAGGTTCCACCCCACTAGGGAGGACGGGGAGGAAGCAAGCTTCCAAAACGCCCGCACCTGTTCTTTCCACGGCCAGGCGTGGGAAGGGAAAAGGGAGAAATGATACCAGTGTCTGGGGCTTTATTGTTTGACGCCCCGCCCCCGACTTCTAACCTCCAATTTCCCAGAACCGGCCTCTCTCAGCGGAGTCTGGGCTGGACACCGGTTTGGTGACCGGTCCCCGGGACAGCAGGGTCGTGCCGAACCCGGGCGGCATCCACGGCACACGAGTCCCCCACGAAACCACGTGGGGGAAACAGAGACGTCACCCACTTTTTCACTTTCTTCTCCCGGAGCGGGAGCCTCCTACGGAGGCGCCTGGATGGACGCGCCATTTCTAACCCACCCGGAGACTGCATCTCCCTGAGGCCTCGGCGCTCACCAAACACCAGGCTCGGGTCCTCGGGAGCTGGGACTTTCCAGCCATGGTCACGGGTGCCGAGGGCCACGCAGGGAGCAGGGCGGTGCCTGGGCAACCCCGCTCACCAGAGCCACGCGCTCTGTGCATCTCCTCGGGGTCCCCGCAGGACGCGCTGTGAGATGCCAGTCTCCGCGGCAAACGCCCTCACTCAGGGGCGGGGAGGGCGCGGCGCAGCGAAACGCGTGGGGACTCGCGGCGGAGCAGTTACCTGTCTGTGCAGCCAGGCCTCACTTTCGTCCTCGTGTTTCTGCAAGGAGACGAGAGCGTCAGTGGGGGGTGGGGGTGGGGGGGACTCGGGGCGAGCCGCCTGCCCGCGGCCCCCGGCGCAGAAACGGTGCGCCCCCCCACCCCCCGCACGGCAGCGGCGTCGGCTCGGGCAGCGGGCAGCTCTGTGGCCGCTCGGGAGGGCGCGGTCCGGGCTCTCTGCTTCGTCCCACGGTGTGTGCCTCAGAGCCCAGCCCCCTGAGAGTCCCCGAGCAAGGGAAATGTCACTCTCCCCAGCGACGGGGACACCCCACGGCAGGTGGGAGGCCTCTGGGGGATGGGGTGCTCTTACCGCCCGAGGGCCGTCGCCGACCAGGCGGGCGCGTGCCCACTAAAGGCACACCTCGGGGCCGCTTCGTTTTAGGGATTTCCGCGTGTGTGAGTGCGTGCGTGCGTGCGTGGACATCCGTCGGCTTTATAGATTACAAAATGTATACAAAGTAGATCTCACAAAACCGTGTGGGATAGGGCATCGTAGAAGATGAGACAAAACAAACCCCGAAACCCCAAGGAACAGCTGCTCGGCACCAGCAGGGCACCCCGAGGTGCCGTGGACCTGCCCCTGGGGCGACGCACGACATCGGGGGCCCCGGCCAGAGGTTGCGGGGAGACCCCCCAGCTTCCCAGCTGCGTGCTCACCTTTCCTCCCGCCCCCCCCGCAGCGAGCCCCCGCCCCCGGGGATAACCTGGGTGTGCTCTGGGTGTGCTCTGGGTGTGCCCTGGCGCAACCAGGTGCGTCGCAGACCGCGACTCACTCAGGCAGCACAGTGACAGCGGCGGCGTCAGGGCGCCCAAGTCACAACAAGCCTTTTTTTTTCCTCTTCAGGCGGGAAGTGAAAATTCGGGGCCAAACGGGAGCGCGCACTGCTGGGAGGCACGGAAGGGCCGAGCCCCGGGCTTGCAGCAGTCCTTGCGTCGACCACCAGGTGGCAGCAGAGCGCAGACCTGCACGCCGGCTGCCACCTGGACGCGCAGGTACAACAAGAGCTCAGCGCCCGCTGGCAGGGGCCCCGCCCCCTGGCCTACCTTGGTGCAGACGCCCGTGGTGGCGTCGCAGAGGGTGAGGATGGACACGTTCTGCGCGCGGCTCAGCCAGTTCACGGCGACCTTGGTGCTGGTGGCCCACTTCACCATGGTGATGTAGTATTCCCTGTTAATGCACACACGTACGGGGTGAGCGGCTGTGCGGTGACCTCGGGGGACCACGGGGCCCAGGGACGGGCGCCCCCCAGACCTCTGGACACCAGGGCTTCCGCTGGGGCGCATCTGGGGGGCGTCACAGGCTCCAAAGGGGGCCCCGCCTGTGCCAAGCTCAGCTCCCCTTTGCCCTCTTTGACCTCTAGCTGACCAGGGACTGGACCCAGGCTTGGGGCATCCCCGGTTTAATAGCCTAGAGGTCGCAGCTGGCTGTCACCCAACCCCGGACACACCACAGAGTTTGGGCTCTGTCCTCTCGGGGGCAGAAAACACAAGGTCACTCACACAGGGTGCCCGGGGTCACAAGGAAACTGCAACTGAACATGAGAGAAGTCGGAGTCAGGGAAATGGGGGATGTTTGGGAAGCCCTCCCAGGACCCAGGGCAAGGGGTCTCCTCTGGGAAGGTGGGGGCTTCCCATGGAGAAACCAGGGTGGGTGGCAGAGGAGAAGGGGTCACCAAGGACAGAGGAAGACATGCCCACGGGGGGGTGTGGGGCAGAAGGATCCCACTGTGCAGATTGAGGGGGTTGCCCACGTTCTGGGCAGATGAATGAGACGCCCCCATATGTCCTGACAGGACCCTCGAGTTCCAAGGAAAACAACTCAGTAACAAGTTTCGACACAGGATCAACACATTTTGGCTGCTGTCAACTTTCTCCACGGTTCCAGGTCGAGTGGTATTTAACACTTCGGTGTGTTTTTAACGAGCAACCTCTTGTTCACAGCGTGTCCTCCTGAATATGCCGCATGCCAAAGGCATGAACGTCAACACGGAAGGCACAGAGTTGTAAGTTTAACATGCGTGAAGATCATCTCCACAATCAACTCTTCCCTGTCTGGTCCTAAGCCACTTTCAATTTGATGACACATTTGAATGCAAATATTACAAGTCACTGTGAAGTGATAAAAATGGCGTCAAGTAAAAGAAATACTGGGTGGGTATTTCATAGAATTATTCGCACTGAGGAACTACAAGATTCCTGACAGAAACCCAGATGGTGAAAGAGAAAGATACCACTGAAGAAAATAGGAACACGAACAGGCTATGTTCCCAGAGTCAGAAGCTCGATGGGGGGGAACATTTTCAAAGTAATAGTCAGTCTGCAAGCACGGAATCGAGGACACTGAAGCGTCAGGGGGCAGGAACCGTGTCCGCCTTGTTCATTTCTGTGTCTTCGCACCGTGCACGCAGGGCTTCGCACGTGATGCAGACTAAAGATTTGTTCAGGGAAGCAATCTGCCTCTAAGACAAAGAGCCAGGAGTTCCTCTGCTGGCAGAGAGCGGCTAACAAAATAATTCTAAAGTTCATCTAAAAGAAGACATGAACAGTAATGGCCCAGATGTTTTTTTTTTTTTTAAAAAGAGTCTGACCCCACCGAGAGGGATGGAAAGAAAAAGGGGCTAATGCGACAGCCTGACCCCAGACTCTGGCTGACGCAGGAGCCAGTGGGCCTGCAGGTGGGCGGACGGCCTGACACCACTACGGTCTGCACGGAACAGCACGGCTCATGTAATGATGAATGTTTTGCAATGGTGTCGTCCCGAACCAGTGGGGAAGGGATGATGGACATGGTCCACGCCGCTGGGACCACGGCTTAATTATTAAAAGGCAGACAAGCAAACACGGAACGAGGATGCCTTCTGGGAAAAAAAAATCTCAAAGGAAAATGGACCGAAATGCTCGCCACAGCTGGGGGGATGGCAGGCGATGATTGGTTCCTGTGAGCAGAGGTCACTCTTTAAATAAGAAGGTCACGAAGGATGCATGGGAGGGTTCCACCTTCAGTCGGCAGTTTCCCCCATTTGGTTAGGTCTCCTCTCTCCAGAAACCCAGCCGCGGTGAGCATGAAGGAATAAAACAGGCATATTTCCACACTGAGAAGGACAACGGGAAAGGGGCTAGATTTTGCCCCTTTTCTGGGAAACGGGAAGCAGAGAGGAGAGCTCTAAGGGCTGAGGCTGGTTGGAAAAATCGGTGACCTAAAATGCCCACGGTGTGGACCCCGAGGGAACTTTGGGGACTGGAGGTCAAATTGCAATGACATGATACGTGACAGAGAACTGCAGCTGAGCAGGAATTTCATGGGAGGGTCTCTGAATGACAGAGATGACAAAAGAAAACACATTTTGATAAGTTATTTCAGCATCCAGAAAGCTTTCAGGAGGAAGAAAGCACGTGATCCACAGGGAAGCAGGTATCAGAGCAACACCAGGGCTGTCACCAGCCAGGCTGAGGTCCGGAAGCTGGGGGACTAGATCCCCAAACTGAAGGGACCATGGTTTTCAAATGACAAATCCGTGTACAGCTGAGATTTTCAACGAATGTGAGAAAAATGCATCTTTAAAAAAAGATATTCAAGCATTCAGACAGTTTACTTCTCACAGTCCTGTGCTAGGAGAGCACCTTGAGGACGTGCCCAGACAAAAGTGGGCGGAAGTCGAGGGAGAAGATGACGCACTGGCTCCCACGTGGAGAGTGGAAAGGGACATACGTCCCAGGATGGCATCCGTGCCGATGGGACAATGAATGACCCATCCAGGGCAGAGGAGGACAGTGGCAGGTACTTGGAGAGATCGGTCTGGGGGAAGGGCATTGCAGCGCAGTACCCGATAGAGTGGGATGAAACCCAAGGGTCCAAGTGAAAAAGAAAGGCAACTTAGAACTCCAGGAAAAACAAAAGGCTGAACGGAAAAGAGACAGTCACAGACTACTCCTGAGCTCTGCCATGAAAGATAATCACTCATAATAAAGTCCATGCTATTCATCAATTTTCATGTTTTAGAATCAGCCTACAGATAAGTAAGGCTTAATTACGGTTACCGGAAAAGAATGCAAATGCTGTCACGTTCAATGATATACCATCAAATCCAAAGACAGAAGTTTGTTTCTCAGTGGCAGGGACAGGGACAGGCCCTGCAGGAAAAGGCAGGACTACTATTTTCCTCTTGCAAACTGGGGAGTTAAGAGTTTTGGTTTGTCGTAATGCAACATGGAGGGAGTTTGTGGGAGCATTGTTTGAGTTTATGAGGGTAACCCAGAGAGACAACAAAATGCACATAGAGGGAGAAGGTAGAGGGCTGTAGAGGTAAGTGTGCCGACTTCTTTTCTATCATAAAGAAAGACAGTAACAGCCCTGGATGGGTAACTCAGTGGGTTAGAGCATTGTCCCAACACCCCAAGGTTGTGGGTTCGATCCCCAGTCAAGGCACATACAAGAATAGACCAGTGTGAAGGCATAAATGAGCCGAACAACCAATTGATGTTTCTCTTTCTCTCTCTCTCCGTCAAATGAATTTTTAAAAAGACAACAAAAAGGAATACATTAATGAGTAGAAATCAGTGAAACGAGCATTTTTTAAAAAGTGATATGACATTACTCTCAGGAGCAAGGGGATGAGAGAGTTAAGGCTGTCTCCCTCAGGGGTCAGGATGGTTGTGGGGGGGGAGAGAAAAGGACCACTGTTTTCACTGTAGCCCCTTCCGTATGATTCTAATTTAGGCAGGAATATGCAGTACCGTGGTGCAGAGGGCACAGGAAGGTAAACGCAAATGACAATGGACAAGAAGAAGAAGAAGAAGAAGAAAACGTGTGCCCCCCCCCTCCGGAGAGACATCCAGTGGCCCTGGAGGAAGCCAGGCGTGTGGGTCGGCACGCGGTCACGCAGGGACAGGCGGCCGCCCTCTGGGTGCCCCTGGCCAGACCGGGTTAATGAGAACAGGGCGGTCTTTCCAGGCTCCTCCAGAAGCGAACCGTTGCCGGCAAAGAAAACAGGGGAAGGCAGGTGAGCCAAAGGATACTTCCTTAATGGTATCCCCCCACTACCTTGATAAGTCAACAGAGTAAGTACCCCCGCCCAGGCGGCAGACGGCAGACGGCCTGTGCGGGCTGCACCGGGGGAAGGGGATAAAATGTTTGCACTTGAACTGAGACTCTTGTCCTTTAGCCGAGGACGCTGGTCACGGAGGCGAGGGCCCCCCAGCGGTCACCCCCCGGGGGGCCGGGAAGGGCTGCCCGCAAGTCCTCAAGGCCGACCCAGGTCTGAGCGGAACTTGCACCGAACCGAGCAGAGACCGCTTCCGCAGAGAACGCGCCTGCACGCACGGAGTATGTCCCCTGTGCTTTGGACCCCGGAGAAACGGATCCGGTGTGTCCGACCGAGCCCCGCGAAGCTCTCCTTCCCGTAGAAACCGCACTCAGCTGCTGATGGCTCTGGGGGGCGCAGGCGTCACGGGGGCTTCGCCCGGGGGAGCTTCCGTGGTTCCTGAACTTTCCGGAACGGGGCCTTTGGAAGCCCCTCCCCAGGCGGGTGCCCCTCCCGCGCGGCGGGGGCCTGCGTCCTGGGTCTGGGCCCTGTTTCCCGAGGACAGCGGCGCTCCCGCGAGTCCCAGCTGGACCCCTCCGCAGGGCGCTGTGGGGGCTGGGTGCGCGCTGTGTGCTGGGGGGCAGCTCACAGGCAACGGAGCCTGCGGACCCCCCATGCCCACCTCCTCCTGCTGAGTAGGCGGGGCGCGCCGACAGCCTGCTTCCCCTGTGGAGGGCTCGGGCGTCCCTGACCCACCCGAGGACAGTGACAGTGGGCGTGGAAGAGACTCCCCAGGCCCGGTGTCCTCCACGGCCACGGTCACCTTTCCCTCCTTCGACCTTTCCCCGCCCCTGTGACCTGTGACGCCAGCCCCCTCACCCCTGGTGCTTCCCCGTCCTCGACAACCCCCTGGTGGCAGGGCGGGGGGAGCTCCCTGGGGCAATGCGCAAAGGGCCGGACTCTTACCGTCCCCACCCAGTGCCCAGGCCGGGGACGCGGAGAGAAATCCACCCAACAGTCAGGACGGAAGGAATCTCCTGTCTGAGGGCGACAGGGGGCAGCACTGAGCAGACGGGGGAGAGAGGGACAGGGGATGAGAAAGATCGCGCTGCCAATAAAGGGAACGGCAGTCAGAGGAGGTCGCCCC